CCAAGAAAGAATATCCTGCCCCATCCTTGAGAGAGGAACTGATCAGCGAAGACTGACTTCAAATCAACCAGATTAGAGACAGGGAGAGTGGACTTCAAGCCTTCTTAGAAGAATGCTCTAAGGCACAGAGGAAAATCTATGCTAGAAGGAGCAGTCACAGATGCATGCTGTTCCTTACACAGAATACAGGGACGTGCTTGTCAGCATGGAGTGGCAGGAAAGAAGCTGTTGGCGTCTCACAGAGCACAGACCTGCTTCCCAGACCTCGGTCCACAGAAAACCATCCATGGGTGCCCTGTAGAGCTGTAGAGAGGGATTTTACACCACAGATCTTAGAGTCATCCTGATTCTAAACACAGATAACAGCAGATCAGATACAGCATATTTTGTAGAAACGATACAGAGCCCGGCAGAGAACAGTGCAGAGTCTCCTGCCTCCACGCCTGGCTGTCCTCACTGGGGCACGTTGGAGGACGGTGGGTTGAGTTTCCCTCCCCACCCTGAGCAGAGCCCCAGCAGCTGAAGACCTCCGGTTCCAGCCACAGCCATGCTTAAGACCACTCTCCACACGTTCGGACGAGCCTCACGCATGAAGGAACTGGCAGAGGAACCCAGGTGTATGGGACCCGGGGTGTAGATCTCCAAGCCTGCTCGGATTGGGACTAGGGCCTCCTCCACCCAGATCCCCAATCTTCCAGTATGTAGGCATCACACCCAACAACTATCCCTGGCGCCATGTAATCCCATCAACGGCCAAGACCCAGAGACTATAAAACCCTGCTCCCGGAAGCATGTAGCTGCATTCGTGGCCATGTGACATCTTATTATCTAGTTCTTACTCTGGAGAACCTGGCAGGCTACCAGAAGTATCCTGTCCACATGGCAGAGTCTGGCAAACTCCCCGTTGCGTATTCAATATGCCAAAAACCAGTAACAATGATGCATCTCATTCTTCTGACCCTGAAAGAGCCTCGAATGTGGCACTTTTTAAAATTTCAGTTCTAGGATGAAGGAGACATTACTGGGGCCTGCTCGAGGCAATTGATGAACAACAGGATGACAGTGATACAGTGATACTTAAAGTTGTCTGAACTAACACCCAGGAAGGGCTCAGATTAGTACCAGGAATTTTGCTCCATGACTTGAAGGCCAGCCACATGTGCTGGGTGAGAAGGAAGCTCAGATGGAGAAGAGAGCACCAAATAAAGGGTGTTGTGAAGACCCTCCAAGGGTGGGAGAGACATGCTAAAAGTAGTCTATAGACCAAACATGATTGCCACTCAATGCCTCTCTGGCAAAACACAGTACCCAAAAGAAGAGAGAGAGAACAGAGGGGAATGCCCTGCCACAGCGGCAGGGTGGGACGGGGGGGGGGGGGGGAATGGGGAGTGGGAGGGATGCTAGGACCCGTGGTGGGGGAGGATGGGCACTGGTGGAGGGATGGGTACTTGATCATTGTATAACTGAAACCCAAGCACAAAAATTTGTAAGTCTATAAGTGTACTTCATGGTGTTTCACTAATAAAAAAATGATTAAAAAATGATAAAATAAATAAATAAATACATAAATTTAAAAAAGAAAAAAAAATAAAGTTGTCTGAAGCCCCAGGGTTCAGGAGATTGCCCTTCAGGTGTGGGGGAGGGAGAGTTAAGGGCAGGCTTGAAGGTGTTCGCCCTAGTGAGGGCCACTCACTTGTTACACCACTGGGATAGGGAAGGGAGTCCTCACTGCTGGGAGTGTCCTGCGTGGGCAGTGCTGCAGAGTGACAGAAGAACAGGCAAAAAGGAAGGACAGGCAAACAGGAAGGACAAGCAAGTAGGTTGCAGAAGTTCCGCAGGACTATTCCTGCCATATTCTGAAGACCTTGGAGCCATTCAAGAACAAGACACAAAGCCCAACTTTATTTCCTCTGAAAGCCATGAAACCAGGCAAGATTTATAGCCTGGTTAGTTATTCTCACCCCAGCCTGGCACAAAACCCAGCGCCAGAGTTTTTACAGTTTCAGTTCAGGTTTCTTGAATCTGCTGAGAGTAAAGTTGCCACAGGACAGGAGTGAGCAGACAGGGATCAGAAAAAAACAGTGTTGCTTAACATGTTGGTGACAAGAGACTTGCAAGGTGGTTCCATGCTCTGACAAAGTTCTGCAGCCCTCTACTCTGAACGATCACCCCTTCACTCCCTGATGTGTGCCAGGGCAAATTAAAATTCCTCCTTAAATGTAAAATTAGCTCCTGCATAATGTACAAATTTATTTTTTTAATTTAAGAGTTTTTATTTTTATTAGTGAAACACCATGGGATACAATTGTAGACTTACAAATTGTTGTGTTTGGGTTTCAGTTATACAATGATCGAGTACCCATCCCACCACCAGTGCCCATTCTCCACCCGCACCAATCCCAGTATCCCTCCCGCTCCCCCATCCCCCCATCCCACCCTGCCTCTGTGGCAGGGCATTCCCTTTTGTTCTCTCTCTCCTTTTGGGTGCTGTGGTTTGCAAAAGGGGCATTGAGTGGCAATCATGTTCAGTCTATAGTCTACTTTCAGCATGCATCTCCCATCCTGGGCAGATCTTCTCACACCCTTTATTTGGTGCTCCCTTCTCTATCTGTGCTGCCTTTACCCCTAGAGTGTGCGGCTGGCCTCCAAGCCATGGAGTAAACCTCCTGGTATTTACCCTAAATTAGGGCTGGAGCAATAGCGTAAGGCGTTTGCCTTGCACACAGCCAACATGACCAACGTGGGTTTGACTCCTCCACCTGGCAAGCTACCGAGAGTATCTCGCCCGCACGGCAAAGCCTGGCAAGCTCCTCATGATGTATTCAATATGCCAAAAAACAGTAACAACAAGTCTCACAATTTGTTGTGTAGTGCTACAGTGCTACCCTAAGTTAAACTCATGCATCATGTATGGATTTCAGGGTCTGGAGAGGCTCACAGTGCCACCCCAGGATTTGGTGTGGGAACTCAGCCACCAGCACTGTGTGGTTCCCATGAGTACTGCTGGAAGCAATCTCCAGAGCACTGAGCCAGGAGCAACTCCAGAACAGCTGGGTGTGGCAAAAACAAGCAAACAAAACTGGAGTAACTCTAGCCTTCTCTGATAAGGACATTTAAAAGATCAGGTTTCAACCATAAAATTACAAAGAAGTGGGGGGCTGTACGGGTCACCGAGGCATGAAGCCCTATCTATTATCAGCAGTATTATAAATCATGGTGTCCCATACAAAACCTGAAAGGATTTAATTACAAAGAAAGCATTTAAATACTGATTTCAAAAAGGCTAGGCATAAAGATACTTTATATGCTAATGTGATGTAAATAAATTCTCTGAGGAATGCATTTTCAAGTAGGCTAATGTTTTTTTTTTCTTCTGTTACGCACCCAAGCAGGTACTGCTTACAGGAAAGAGCAGACCGTGAGTGTACATGGGGACACCCAAGAGAACAGTGGACACAGGTACGCTCACAGACACCCCGTGCACAGAGTGGACACAGCCATGTACATGGCACTCCATGCAGAGTGGACATAGACGTGTGCACAGACAAACCATATAGAGTGGACTCAGGTGTGCCACAACTGGACACAGGTCTGTATACAGACCCCCCCTAGCAGAGTGGACTCAAATGCGCACACACACATTCCGGCAAGAGTGGACACAGGCACGTACATGGACACCCTGAGAGTGGACACAGACATGCACATGGACACCCCTCAGAGTGAACACAGGCACGCACATGGACACCCCTGAGAGTGGACACAGGTGTGTGCACAGCAGCTCCATAAACAGGCGACATGGGTGTGCATACAGACATCCACTGCAGAGAGGACATGGCATGCAGAGGGCCCCAAGCAGAGAGAACTACTGTGTCATGCTAATTAACTGTGTCAAGCCTCGGCAGAGCCATTGCCCAGTGTTTATGACACACACATACTAGCTCCTCATTGCACGTTCCTCTGGGGGCACTAAGCATTACTGTCCAGCTGTCCCAAGATGCCCTGGAAGAACCAAGCCATGAGACACTTGTCCCTCCCGAGGGAGCAGTTTTTGACTGCAGTGCCCCAGCCGTGCGGGAGTGGCAGGGAGCGAGAACATGACCTTCCCTCCAAAGAGCAATGAGCCCAACAAATGTCAATATTTCCATTTTATTTCCTCTTATTTATTTGTCTTACGATATCAAGGTATTATAAAGTTAACTAATCAATTAAGAAGAGCAGGGTAACGAACTACATTTCTGTGAATGATAAATTAGGATAATAAAATGCCAGATGGAACAACCATAATAAAATCAATGCAATAGTCTTTGTTATATCTTTCTTTATTATATCCTTCTAGAACACTGACATTTTTTAATCTCTCCTTGGTATTTTTCACTCATATTCTGATAAATCCTTGGCAACGAAATTCCCAGCAAGCTAAGTGTAGACACGGTTGTCTGTTGCCATGTTTCTCACTCTCAATTCATAGGTTTTTTTCGCATTCTTCACCATGCAGTAGAGAACTGCGAGTCACAGGCCCCCTGTTGGGACCCCCGGTGTCTGTCAGCACTCAGGCTCTGGAAGTCTCTGTGAGGGTTTCTCCAGCCGCTGCTTCTCTGGGACCACTGCACGTTCTCAGGCATGGCCCTGACAGGCTGACTTCCAATCTCTGTCCTCACCCGAGTCACAGGACTGTGAGGATAAGAACAGCAGTGAGCTGTATGACCCAGGAATGACCGTCCGACCTACTGCTCCGCCGCTGGACCCGTGACTGGAAGTGACACCTGGACCCGGCCTGTCCCCTACTCCTCTGGTGCTGATCAGTCATCAGACTCCGGAGCTCTAGACGCTGGTGGGCACGTCAGCCCGCTGGTCCCACTCTGTCACTCTCTGGGGACCAGTCGGAGCCCCTCCCACTGCAACCTGGGGCTGCCCAGGTTTGGGATGCAGGGTCAGGCCAGGACGAGTGAGGCGCCCACTCTCGGCCCCTGCAGCCCCCAGGCAGGGCCGCTCCTGGGGGGTCACCGTCGGAAGGGCACGAGAGACTTACAGTGCTGCCTGAGCGTGCCCACCAGCATGTCCCGGAAGTGGTCCCCCAGGAGGAAGTAGAAGACAGGGTTGATGACGCTGTTGAGGAAGGCCAAGGGCCTTGAGATAATGTACAGCATGTGGATGACATCCTGGGAGCACCCAGCCTGAGGCCAGGCGTCCAGGCGCGAGGCGATCCGCACGTTGCGCAGCACGTGGTAGGGCGTGAAGAGCAGAGAGAAGATGGTCACGCCCAGGACCACCAGGCGCAGCGGCTTCTCCAGGGGCAGCGCCGAGGCCAGCCGGCGGGTCCTGCGCCTCAGGAAGAAGAGGATCTTCAGGTAGGAGCCACACATGACGCCCAAGGGCACGAGGAAGCCCAGGCCCGTCAGGCACAGGCTGTACAGAAGGTTGGAGTAGGCGTCCCCTGAGCTGGCGTAGTCGATGCAGCCGGTGCTGTTCCCTGCCGGGCGGATGAGGGAGAGGATGGGCAGCAGCTCCAGGGTGACCAGTGCCCAGACGCCCAGGGAGAGCAGCACGGCCCAGGCCCTCCTCTGCAGGCAGTGGTTCCGAAAGGGGTGCTGCATGAGCAGGTAGCGGTCGACGCTGACCAGGGCCAGGAAGAGGATGCTGGTGTAGAGGTTGGCGTGGAGCAGGTAGCGGTTCAGCAGGCACAGCACGTCCCCGTAGGCCCACTCGCTCAGGGCGTAGGTGCGGATTAGCAGGGGCAGGGTGCACAGGAAGGCCAGGTCGGAGATGGCCAGGTTGAAGAGGTAGATGTTGCTGCTGCTCCACGTCTTCAGACAGAAGATGTAGCCAAAGACCACCACTGTGTTCCCCAGGATGCCCCCCACAAACTCGATCCCGTAGAAAATGGGGAGGTAGAAACTTTCCAGGGAAGCCTTGGCGTCCAGCCAGCTTCTGCAAGATGCATTCCATGCCTGGAGGAAGAAAGGGCTGACATGAAGTTATCTGCAGAGGGGCGAAAGGGCAGCTGTGTGGAGTGGCCACCAGGGCCGACAGAGGGGGCTGCGAGAGACACCCCACCCCCTAGCCCAGAAGCAGACGGCCTTCCGGCCTTCCGTCTGCCACGTCCTGTATGGCATTTCAGGACAGGGACATGCGTGTGCCAGACTGGGCAGAAGCGCACATGGAGCCCTTGCCAGGGCGGGGAGCATGGGTGAGCTGCCTCCCACCGGGTCCAGGCTCGAGTGGTCCTAACTGTGGGTCAAAGGGGCTCAGGTCCTGCCCAGTATTGCGAATTGGCCCCTAATGTGGATGAGAAAATAGGTTCATTCTAATTCCAGTCCTGCCATTTTATTTTGTTCAGTAGCTTGAACCCGGTGACTCAAAAACTTAGGTTTATTTGTACTAAATCTGCAAACTGTAACTCATTCTAATGTGTTTTTTTTTTCCATTTCACTTCACTGTGAAGCTGAAGATCTCAGTAATAATAACAATGACTCCTGTTTACTGAAACAAGTCCCTGAGGGTCACTGCACAACACCCAGATGGCATATTATTGGGCGGGAACATTGTTGGCGTTTGTGGAGACTGGGGTTGAGAGTGAAGGATCAAGTCCTCTTTTTGGTGACAGAGTGTCGCCTTCCGCACGGGCCGTGGGAATAAGCATCTTCAGACCCAGGCCGTGCCAGCCCTCCCTGTCACCATAGCAGCATCTGCAAACCTGATTCTTTTCCCTTTTATGGTGTAGGGTGCTGGTCACACCTGGCCATACTCAGGGCTCGCTCCTGGCTCTGCGTCCAGGCTTCACCCCTGGAAGGGCCTGGGATCCCTGGGAAGTGCCAGGGACTGAAGGTGCACTTACTCTCTAACCCCAGGGAAGCCTGGGATTAGCTACCAAATCCAGCCTGTTCACAGCAGGGAAGAAGAAGGAGAAACAGTTCTAAAATGCTCCTTGCCTCACAGGCCTTGGCATGGACACTGCAGTCAAATGGGCCTTTCAACAGAGCACTTTGGTAAGCAGAGGAAAGACAGGAAGACCCTGAGCTGTTTCTCCTGGGGCAGCAGCCAGAGCAAGACCCCTCTGGGGTGATGTCTGGGGGACAGATACACTCGAAAGCTTCTCCAACCAAAGATTGTGGCCTCTGGAAGATTCATTTCTGGAAATCAGCCATGGAGTCGTGAACATGGTCAGGGCATGGTCACCATTTGGAGAGGAGCACCTGAGTGACTGAATCCCGAGTCCCTGAGTCCCTCCCCCAGGCTTCCTGGACACCTCCCCAGGGCACAGCTGTCTAGGGACTGACCAGTGATCCGCCAAGCCAAACACCTCTGCGAGCAGCAGTCACTGCCCTTCACTGTCTCGTGTCTCCTGTGCTGGGCTCCCCTGCACCCTCTCTCCTCAGGGAGGGGCACAGCATTTGCGGGTGCCCCTCGCCCCCAGCCCCCTTCTCAAGGCCCTCCCTGACCCACCTCGTGCGGCACATAGACTCCACGGCCTGGAGCCCAGACACCGTTCTGGTGCAAACTCTTCTTAGGGGGATCTCAGGTGGGGTTGCTCCCGGCTGCTCCCCCTTCTTCCCTGCCTCAGGGGCACACAGAGCACCCCAGCTTTGATCCCTGAGTCTGTCTGCATAATTGTGGTGCTGAGCCAAACTCCTTCCTGAGAGGGGAGGATGCTGGCAGACGCAATACTCCCTTCAGCCCGTCCACACGAAACCCCTCCTCAGTCGCTTTCAGTGATTCTTGGAGGCCCTCTCAGGATTTTTACCCCACACTTGGCACAGTGACAAGAAGATGCATCTGGTTGGAGTCGGGAAGACAGCACCTGACTGCTTATGAACATTTTCTACAAATTCCTCTAAGGTCAGAGAAGCATCAAATAAGGCCCGTTGCTTGTTTGTACTGTGAAGACTGACACACAGATAATTCAGAGCGTGCTCAGAATTGGCCATTGAATTGGCTATCACTCTGGCTGCTGTTCTGAAAACCTTTGCAACAGTAAAGCAATTACTGTCTTGAAGGACCAAGTTTAAGATCAGATGATAAGGGTCTGGAGTGAGTGCAGGCTATGGGGTCTTGCCTTCATGGGACCAATGCTGGCTGAATCCCCTGCCCAGCATGTGGTCCCTCTGCCAGGAGGGATCCCTGGACACAGAGCCAGGAGTAGGGCTGGAGCCCTGCTGGATGGGGCCCAAACCCACAGACTAACGAATGTTTAATTATAAGCCATGAACTATGATCAGAAAGTCTAGAAGGGCATATGGTAAATTAGGACTAGGAATATTTTTATTCCTAGTCATGAGACAACAGACCATTTTTATTTTGTTTTTGTTTTTAAGCTTTCAGTTTATTTGGAGTCTCTAATCCCCCCTACTCCAGCATTGCATTTTGTTTTCTCTTTTGATAATAAATCCCTTTTCCTTCCCTTTGTGTTGTTCTCGTGGGAGTCCTTGTGGTAGTGACAGGGATTGCCCACAGAGCTGGCTGGGACGCAGGCTGGGACACAGGGCCTTTGGAGGGGTCTGGCTGTTCTGCTGGCTCGGGTGCTGGCCGGGTAACTGTTCTGGGTGCTGGCCAAGGTTTTCCTTCCTGGTGGTGCTGCCGGCACAGCCTGGTGCTTCCCATTGCAGTGCTGACTGGGGCTGCACTAGCTCACATCAAGCAGGACTGCAGCCCGGGGCCTGGACACTGACCATAGGTCAGCAAGGCTGCACATGTGCTAGTCACTGTGCCCATCGTCTGGGTCCAGCCTGTTCCGATCTTATTAACAAGGAAACTTCCTAGAAACACAGAAGGTCCATGCACTCGCCAAAGTCTCGATTGTCCAGAACACTCAGGTCTCTTGGCCCTGCTGCCCTTTCCTCCCAGGCCTCTGGAGGAAGGAGGAGGAACATTCCTCCAGGGTCCTTCACAGGGATCCTTCGTTCCTTCCCTGGAGGAACCTGAGAACACACACTCTCAGCTCTCTCTAGGAAAGAGACAGGCTGCAAAGGAGAAAGGAAAACTGCCTGAGAGCCACCTCCTTCTCCTGAATTTATCCTCAGGGTTAGGTGCTGTGACCTACTTGATTCACTTTTTTTGCATAGTTTATTCATTGCTAAAATGTTTCCTAAACCCTTAATATTGATCATGGCTTATAAGGGCAACACTGTTTGCAAAGCAATTGAACCTCCCAGCACCCATGAGTTTGAGGGATTCAGATTCCAAATAGGATCCAAAACGGTTCCAACTTGAGTCAAATGTGTTCATGGTGTGTCTGTCCCCATCCTACAACTCAGTGAAGTCAACTGGTTCTTTAAGCAAAATTCCCAAGTGAAAGGGAAACAACTCATTCAGTTAATTTGCTCTTTTGCTTTGTCATAGATGCATTTCTAATTTTTAGGAAATAGGAACTATGATGCATAAATCATAGCTTTTTTATATGTTTTAAATTTCCATGTATTTCATATAGCTGAATTATTTTTTAACAATTTTTAATGTACTGTGAATTTACTGTGACTTTTAATGTACTGTGATTTTAATGTACTGTGAATAAAACAAATAGATGTCTCAAAATATATCTTAATCTGCCACACTAATTAAACCACGAAGAAATCTCAATTTTTTCAAATAATCGGCTTACTAACACTCATTTTTAAAATACTGGGGCAGGGCGGGGGGGAAATCCACACTCGGCAATGCTTAGGGATCACTCCTGACAGGGACCAAGGAACCATAAACAGTGCTGGGGATCAAATCTGGGTTGGCTGTGTGTAAGGCAAGAATCTTACCCATTGTACTGTCTCTCTAGCCTCAGTAGTGTTTGTTTTTGATCACAGAATAATGTTCATTTTACTTTGTTTTTAGTTTAATGCACATTTTAAAAACTTACATTAAAATATATTTGGGAACTGGAGTGCAGCTCAATGGTAAAATGCATGCGGGGGATCTGGGCTTGTTCCCCTGTACTACACACACACACACACACACACACACACACACACACACAAACACACACACAAATATATCATAGATGTATATGTGTATATGTACTGTTAGTTTTTACAATATTTTCCTTATAATAATCACAGTAAAGAACATTTATGAAGTCTTAAATTTCAACTACTTCATTAAGAAAATTTGCATAGCAATTTGGATATTTTTAACAAACTGTTCTCTCATTAATAAAGAATTTCAATAAAAACATATACTCATACTAAAAATGCACCATAATTTAATAGATTATTACATTTTTATGCATTCTGAATTAACACCAAAACACAAGAGTGATAACATGGTTCAAATCGTATGCACGTGAATTTCTTTAAAAGGACATCAATTATAAAATAACTCAGAAGTTACAAAGCAATAGTTTCTGTGACTTTTTATTTTCCTTAGTGAGTTATATCCTGTATAATTATATACTATAATATCTATTCTTGCAAATATATATATATAATAGATGTAATGTTCACAACACCCTACATTTCCTCTGGCACATTGTTTTCTGAGCATAAAAACGTATATGATAGCCTATTTTATATGATATACCATCACTAAATTATTTCTTATAATAGCTGTATTTTTTACATAAACCCAGTTACAGTTTTTTGTTGTAACACAAGTTACAAAGCAACTGGCAACTACACTGAGGTTCCCAGTTTGGGGACGTTTGAGGAGTGAACCTCACGTCCTTGCCACCTCCTGCAGCTCTGCGTGGGTGAGGGCAGCCTTTCCAAGAGGCCCCTCTCAGCCTCAGGCCCACCTCCCACTGCCCCGGACCCACCCCCATGCAGGGGGGCTGCTTTCTGCTCCGACCCCCGACCCCGCTGTGTGACATCCGACTCACCATTCCTCAGCAAGTCCCTGGTCCCTTCACAGAAATCCTCTGCCAAGAACTTGATTCAGCTCTGTGCGACCCAGAGCTGTGGGCTGGACAGAGTTCACGCCGTCTTATTTACATTGCATGCAGCCAGGATTAACAATTCAAAGGCCCAGGAATAATTTATTCAAACCTCAAGTCAGATATTCAAGCAAGGGAACTTCCGAGAGGAGACGAGATGCAGTGAATTACTCAGTTCATGGAAAATACCCTTAATGACTCTGCCTGGATTGTCTCATTTGCTATTAGAACCCAGAGGCTCCTCATTTCCCTGTCATTTGCATGTTTCAACAGTCAGAACACTGGGGCCGAGAGGGCTGCTGCAGAAAGCTTGACCCAGCACGCCTGGTCTCGGGAGCCCTGCTGGGCGCACAGAGCTGGGAGGACCCTGTGGTCCAACAACCCCACTCCCTTCAGAAACACACACACACACACACACACACACACACACACACACACACACGGAGTACGTTTATCTTGGGAGTGCAGTGGCAGTTGCTCTTCCTTTATTCTTCAAATTCACCTTCTTGGACGAATTCTATGTCAAACATTGAAACTATTAGGAATGTCCTGAAGGGACTCTAACCCTGAAGTTCTGACAGCAAACCTGTCCAGACGTCCTGCCACTCTCGGGAGCAACCCAGCACAGCGGTGCTCCTCTCCTTGTTTCATGACACGAAAACCCAGAGACACAAAGGCTGCATCAGGTGTCTGGGGTTAGGAGAGAAGTTGTGCAAGACGGCTGGTGTGGAGCCAGATGGTTCACTCACACACCCCCAACACAGCCCCACACCCTGAGGGTCACAGCAAACTCCAGTTCAGGTGAACACTCAGTCTGAGGCAGGTGCTGAGAAAGTCCCAATGCTGCAGCAGCAGCAATGGGATCCCACTGTCCTGAGAGGTGGGTACTGAGATCCCAGTGACTGGGACACGGCCCAAGGAAATCCTTGCATAGGATTTCCAAGTTCATGAGGCCCCAAACTCAGAACCTTAAATGCTGTCCTCTCTAGAGGGATACATGGGTATGCAGGCATGCATCGTACACTTCACAGCATGAACGTGCAGTGAATATACATGGCTTATGAATTCTCTGCAGTCACAGGAAATGATGCTTATGTAATTTACTGTATTCTCATATGGGTGCCAGACATTGCACCAACGTTTTAATGTATTGAACACACATAGCGATTCCCTAAGTCTCTTTGGCTTAGAATTGTTCTCACTTTACAGATTAAAAGACTGAAACTAGGAAAGGTTATTGATGTTACCAGGTCACTGTATCAGTAAAGAGAGAGTCTGTGTTTTGAGTCCTACCTGATCCCAAAAGCCAGACAGGGTGCTAGTACCTTCCATGGACACAGAATCGAGTCAATTCCAGAACCAAGAATGAGTGTCCTTAGAAACGCAGCCCTTCTTCCTCCCAGGAGAAAAGACAAAAAGCATCACTTTTCCGTAAGTTTAGTTCAATCACAGCCCGGGAGGTGAGCCCCAGGCTTGTTCATGGCAAACAAGAATAACCAGGGACCCGTCTCTGCTCTCTCTGGTGAGAAGACACCATGGAGCACCCTATCCGACACTCCCTTCCTGAGGGGGACGCCCCTTTGTGGGTGGGGCACTAACCCAGAGCTTCCTCTTTCTTCTCCCACATCCTGATAGCTTACTCTGGGCCATTGTGATAACGCCATATTTCTCCTTCCACATTAGTATGCAGACCTGCAGTTTCTTCCCCACTCGGCTCCTCCCAGGGCTCGGAGACTCGGGACAAGTTCTGGTCCCAGCAGTTCAAGCCCCCCCTTTCCCCGCTGCCCTGTCCACAGAGTAAGCTCATGTTCATGCAGCAGAGGGATGGCCTCTGAAGAGGCCCAGCCTTGGACACCCTCATCTGGTGACTCACCCTCTGCTGAAGGAGCCCCTGCTCACACCCCATGCTCTGCCAGCAGCGTGTCTGACAAGGGCCCTCATTCTCCCTCTGTGGCCCAGACTTCCCAGGAAGTCGCCCCACTCAGCACCCAGAGTTCCCAAGGCAATAGTCTGTGTTTGTCCTGCTGTGGGGATGCTGTTGGGCTATGGTGCTGAGAGACATGGGGTGGCCAGTCAGTGTCTGTCAGTGGTCATCACAAGTCCTGAGTCCAGCACTCCAAAGCCAACCATCTGGGCCACCTACCAGCTCTCCCTGACTTTCTTGTCTGCCTAGGAACTGCCCTGTGGTCCATCAGATTCCCTCCCGAATCCTGTGTCCATCAGACCCCCATCCATAGCCCAGCAGACCTCCTCATTCTGTGGTCTGGTCCATCAGCTGTCCTCCACCCTGTTGTCCCTGAAGCCCCTTCCCTATGTCCGTCAGCACCCCTGTCCTATGGGCCATAAGACCCCCATGCTGTTGTCCATCAGATGCACCTTCATCCTGTGTCCATCATTTCCTGTGGTCCCGAAGACTCCTGCCCTGTGTGTACTCTGAGGACATAGGTTGAGTCCTCATTGATGTTGCCATGGGTGCAGGAGACCCCGGAGGGTCTCATAATCTCCTGAGAGACCTCATGCTTCTTGATGCCCAGAACCCACTGACTCAAGTCAGACAGGAGCTGCAGGCTATAAGGAAGCTCATCATGGCCTGACCCCTCTTTCACACTCTGACAAGAACCTCACTCCATTCCTCATCTGAATGGGGACATGAGCACCAATCATGACCCCCCAAGTCTATGATGTCCATCGAGATCCCACATGGAAATGAAAGAAGAAATCAGAAAATCCAGGGGGGCTGGCAGTAGCTTTGTCAAACCCAATGCCAATGAAAGCTTTAATCTCTTTTCCCTTTGTGACAGCAGATGGCTTTGTTCATTAACTTATTTCCATCATGACTTTAAATAGTACCTCTAGCCTCCCTAGAGGAAAGCTGTGTGTCATTCCTCTGATATCCAACAGGATGTCATGCATGTTCCCAGATATAGACATGAGGCAGGCTGTTGAGAGATGGACAGCCCCTGAAGACTGTGGGCATCTACACTCCGTGGCAGCTTCCCCAAACCGTGGCCTGCTTCTCCCTACTCACAGTCAGGGAGAGAATAGAGGTCCATCCCCTAAAGTGAGAGAGTGGACAGTTGTGTCCAGCAGGGCAAATGCAAGCATTTTTACCTATTAAGCATAAGTTCGAAACTAGCATTGAACTTAAACTCTTAGTTATTCGACCCTTGGCCACTAATTTAATTATTCAGATATGCCCCTCTTGGTAGACCAGGGTATCTTAGATAAGAGGCAGATTCCCTGAGACTAAGTGACAATGTTGTGGAAGATTCTGGCACCTCCATGTGTTCATGCCCATGTCTTTTTTTTTCTTTCATTAAATTATATATATATATATATATAATTTATTTATTTATTTTTTTACAGTTGTAGATTTACAATTTTTTTTGTGCTTGGGTTTCAATTATACAATGATCAGATACCCATCCCTCCACCAGTGCCCGTTTTTCACCACCATGGATAATATCCCTCCCACCCCCATCCCCCCATCCCCCCCTGCCTCTGTGCATGCCCATGTCTTAGCCAGGGGCACAATTCAGGGTCACATGAACCCAGGAGTTCTCCACAGTGAAGAAGTTAGGGGTCATTCCAGGGTGTCCCTGAAGCCTGGTGTGAGAGGGTCACAGAGAGTAGAGGAGGAAGGCTTTGGGCTAGGCTGGACGACACACCAGGCTCAATGGTGGACAGACATGCTGAGCTTCAGGCAGAATGGGCAGGTCAGACTGGGTGGACACTCCAGGTTTCATGCTGGATAGACACACCACGAACCTCCCAAGGCCCACGCTGGATGGACGCACCAAGGCTCCATGTTTTTCTCTGCTAGAGAGTGAGTCTAGGTAAGAGAAAAGAGCAGAAAGAGACACGCCTCCGTAAGAGTAAGCACGGGAGGGGAAAACTCCAGAGGAGTGTCCTTTGGGACAGTGGTGGCAGGAAGCAGAGGATGATGTGTTGGGGCAATAATGCACGCATGACACTGTCATCAACAACATGTAAATTGCAGCATCACAATAAAAATGGGACAGTGTATCAAGTTTATTATTTCTTGACAAAACAAAAAAAATTGTTTCTGCTGAATCAATATCTTGATCACTCGACATCCCATTACTCATTGATTTGCTTGAGTGGGCACCAGTAACGTCTCCATTCATCCCTGTTTCACGCCAGTGTATCCCAATGGCATCTGCTTGTTCTAGAAACACAAACAGCTTCGAACCAAACGTTCAGGGTCTTGACAAAGAAGTCGGACCATCTCATAGGTGGGTAACCATGTGATCTTTTGACATCCCGTGGAATCCAGTCGGTAACGGCTCTAGGGCAGTGGTTGTATCCAAATTTCATTACATGTCCAGCCCATCTGATTTTTAATGCCTTGGCAAACGAGAGAGCAGCCCTGATTCTTGATGGAGGTCAGAACTCCGGATTCTTTCTTTCATTTGAGTGATACTCCAAGCATAGCTCTTTTGATTCCTCTTTGGGAGACCTGAATAGCATTCTCATCCTGTTTTCATAGGGCCTAGGTTTCTGAGGCATATGTTAATGCAGGAAGAACAATGGAATTGAAGAGATGTGCCCAAAGCTGGAGGTTCTTTGTCCTCTTAGCTATTTCTTTGATACTCTTGAAGGCGTTCCAAACTGCTATCCTCCTTCTGCACAACTCAGGTGCCAGGTCATTTGTCATGTTGACTTCTCGACCTAGGTACACAGAACTGTTGCATTCGGAGATGTTCGTGCTATTGAGAGTGAATGGAACGTCAGGAACAAGACTATTTCTTATAAACATTGTCTTTGTTAGATTCAGCTGCAGTCCGACCCTTCCACACTCATGGTCGAAGTTGGCTAGCAATTGTGCCGCTTGGCTGATGTTTGGTGATATAAGAATGATGTCATCAGTGAAGTGAAGATGGTGTAGTTGCCGACCATCTATATTCACTCCCATTCGTTCCCATTCCATTCGTCGCATGATGTTCTCGAGGGTGGCATTGAAGAGTTTCAGTGAAATAGTATCACCCTGCTGAACCCCTCTCTTGACATCTATGATCACCTCTCTGTAGAATGGTGAGATCCTTGTAGTGAATCCGCAATACGCTCATGGAGGATCCTGATGTATTGATTTTGAATGCCCTGTTTGGCTAGGGCCTCGATGACCGCTTCAGTATGAACAGAATCAAAGGCCTTCTTTAAATCAATGAACGTTAGACAGAGTGGCATCTTGAACTCCCTAGAAACCTCATTGAGCTTGGTTATCATGTGGATATGGTCGATTGTGCTAAATCCTTTTCAGAAACCGGTTTGCTCGCATGGTTGTTCTTCATCTAGTGTTCTACTAATTCTATTCAGGATGACTCGAGTGAACAGTTTATAGATGACAGACAACAGGCAGATGGGGCGATAGTTGCCAATGTTGTGGATGTCTCCCTTCTTTTACAGTAGTACAGTCCTGCTGGATTTCCATTGGGATGGAACCTTTCATCCAGACAGGTAGCACGTGAAGAGCTGAGCCAGTGTATTGATGAGTACTGATGGCAGGTTCTTCAGGTGTTTGGGTCTGACCTTGTTTGGGCCAGGTGCAGTTCGATTCTTTACCGATGAAATGGCGTGTTGGGTTTCGGAAGACAGAACTTTCGGAATGACATATCCATCCTGCAGAATTTGGTATGTGGGCAGGTGGACGTGGCTATCAAAGAGATCCAAGTAGAAGTCATGGATAATCTTCTCCATTGGCCTTCTGGAAGATGTGATAGATCCATCAGGACATCGTAGGGCAGTCATCTTGGTCTTGTAGTTGGCAAAGGACAGGCGGGCATTGCAAATGCTTTTCCCAGCTTCTGCCACATCTGCCAGCACTGCTGCTCTTCTCTCTTTGAGGTTTTCCTTTATTGCTTCTCTGCACTGCTTTGCAAGCTCGGCCGTTCGCTTGCGGTTGCCTGAGGCTTGTGCCAAGCCATGTTGGCGAATGAGCTCGAGAGGTTTTGAAGACAGTCGTCTTTTTGTGGCTATCTCTCTCTTGGCGTTCCTAGCACAATCATAGAGGTGCTGAACCAGTCGATCGTATTCCTCGTCAATGTTGTCAATGACGGCATCTTCCCATGTTTGCCACAATAATGCCAAAGAACTCCCAGTTGGTGGTCATTCTGGGAGTTCTCTTCTTAAACTTTTCAGCCCTTTCTCTCTGCTCTTTGAAGAAGAATTTTGCACGAAGGAGACAGTGGTCCAATCCTGTTTGGAATTTTGGGACAACAGCGACATCAGTCAGGCAAGACCGTCGATTGAATATGATGTGGTCAATTTCGTTGTGGAACTGTCCACCGGGAGACTCCCAAGTCCAACGTTTAGATTTGGCCTTCTGGAATTGTGAGTTACCATGGATGGTCTTGGTCGACATGATGAACTCAGATAGTCTCTCACCCTGTTCGTTCCATTCTAGGCCAGGGTCCCAAATGTGGAATTCTTCCGCTGATCTTTTCAGTCCTATCTTGGCATTAAAATCACCGACAATGATCTTGTAGAGGTGTGGTCTTCTTTATAGAACTTCTCCAGCTCCATGTAGAACTTCTCAATTTCTCCTTCATCATAATTGAATGTTGGCACTTAGACAATAAAGACAGAAACTGCCGGCAGTGAGCCACATCTATTCAAGTGTAATCATTTGATTTGGGTTGTTAGGCATTTGAATGAATCAATGTTTATGGCCAAGTTAGTGTTGAAAAGGACACTGACACCACCGACGCCTCTTTTGTCGTATGTTCTGAGGAACAGTTCTACAATGTCGAAAACTGTGTGATATGATTGATGCCTTCTCATCTCGGTCAGACCAATGATGTCGTACTTGATCTTTTGCACTTGCACTATCAGGTCCTTGATGGATGCATCTGATGCTAGTGTACATGCATTGAAAGTACAATCATTTTTGTTCTTCTTCGTTTTGGCAGCCTACTTCGGCCCTGAGATTTTATCAGCCTCTCCTTCCTCATGCTTCTTAACACTGCCGTATGGGTGACTCTTTCAGGGTCAGAGGAATGAGACCTATTGTATTTACTGGTTTTGGCATATCAATATCATATTGGCTAAAAAGATCTGGCCTTAGGTTTGGAGAGACAACTCAGGAGTCAGGAGTTCACATATTTGCAAGTTTAAGTCCACACATTGTACCCTCAGCACCTCACAGCCCACTAGAACCATCAGGTGGATACTCCCAGGAGATGCCCCAGTGACCCCTGAACACAGCTTGGGAAAAGAAACCCTGATATGAGTATATTCCCTTTCATGTTGACTGAAAAGCAGTTTTAAGGTTCTCAAACCTAGTAATATGAAAATCGACTTTTATTTTCTGTTTATACTCAATCCAAAAGTCAAATTATTTTTATGCTAACAGCTTAATCAGAGATGTTTCCTGATAATAAATTTAAACTTCTTCTGTGTTGATAGAGATGTGGTGAAAATGTAACTCTCATGCACCAGTGTCTGGTTTAACCCCTAAAGAAAATAGTATGAAGATTTCTCAGGAAAGTACTAATAGAGGTGAAATATAATCCAGAAATTTCACTTCTTGATCTACCATCAAGACACAAAATCATTTGTTCTAAAGGACATGTACGTAATCATGCTTTGCAGAACTTTGTAGAATAGCTGGATATGGGATCAACCCAGGTGCACAAGGACAGATGAGTGGACAATAATAGTTGGAAATGATCACTCTGGAAAAAAAGTGAGCGCTGACAGGTAGTAAAGGGATACTCATGATAACCTTTAAGTACCTGTAGGCTGCAGAGGAGGTGGTGTGAGAGAAACTGGGAACATTGGTGGTGGGAAATGTACACTGGTGAAGGGATGGGTGTTGGATCATTGTACTAATGGAACCCAACCATGAACAACTTTGCAACTGTGTATCTCATGGTGATTCAATTTTTAAAAAAATGAGTGAGAAATGAGAAGGACAGGGGATGTAAGAAGTGTTAAAAAGGGGGAAGGGTTAGGGGTCTCAGAAACAGGGGTGGGGAAGTGTGTGGCCTATGGGTCTATTTAAACCACAGAGCCAACAGCTCTGAAAGGAGGAGAGCCAAACTACACCCAAACTATAAAAATGTGCCTGTCACTGGTTAAGGGAAGCCAGCACTGGTGGGGCGAGGTGCTGGAATACTGTATGCCTGGAATTCAATTCTGAATAACTTTGTGAATTATGGTTCCCTAATATTTTTTTAAAAAGAAATATAGAAACTGTTTTGTTCAAACAGTCTGGGTCTTGTTTCTCTTATATGTGGGAAATATTGAAACAATATTCATTCTTTAGAGCCACTCACAAGAGCACTTTAATTAAAAAGGTAAGTTTGAGCAGAACATTGGATTGACTGGTCTATGTGTTAGACCGGTGTTTCACTACATGGTCATTTCTTGCCAGGCTAGCCATGTTCTGCACCAACGTGCTCCGTCCCTGGAATGGCTGCACTTGCATAGACAGTCTCTGGCTCACAACTTTGAGCTCATTATTTGGCCACAGTTGTCAACATGTGACCTGGGAAAGCCCAACCTCTCCGTAGCTCGCACCCAGGCTTGCTCTAACATGGTCTCTCCCTTGTAATATGAAAGAGAGGTCAGTTCATGACATCTTACAAACATTTTAGAGATTTCAGTGAGAGTTTTAGAGTCTCTGGAGAGGGAAATACATTTATTTAGAGAGCTGAGTTCTTTGTGACTGTTACAAACTACAGTACAAAAATCACCTGTTCCCATGAGCAAAACAGTCTGTGTCTTGTTTCTCTCATATTGGTGTCTTTACCTCTAGAATATTCTCTCAGATAGAATCACTAATTTTACATGAGTATAAGCTGACATGCACTGTAACCTAATCCGATTTGATTTTTCTGTTAGATCAAAACCATCACATAATGAATGAACACTCAAGATTAGAGCAGTCCTAATTATTATTAGTAAATATGGGAAGGATTGAGAAAACATTTAAACAATACCTTTTAATTTAATTTAATTTTATTTCTTGTTTGTTTGGGGACCATACCCAGCAGTGCTCCGGGATTGCTCTCCTTGTATCATTATGGGAAATTTAAGTATAAAAACCCATCTTAGGGAATTTACCACTTTTTCACACTCAGGCCCTATTAACAATTCTCAGTGGGCTTGTCCTCCTGCCCCTCCTTCCTTAGTTTTGCTTTTTACTTCAGCTGGTCTGGTCTGCTCTGTGAGTCTTGCTAATGGTGGGTCTTTAGAGACTGAATTTCTGTAACTTTCATTTAGATGTCTAATATTTCTGTAATCCATGCAAATCTTTACTTTTATTGATTTACTAACTCAAATATTTGATATGTGACCTTGTAAACTTTGCATCATTATCTGAAGCAAATTGGCAGACTGAGTTGCAGATGAAAATAAGATAGAGGGTTGCCTTCCATACACTGAGTCTGTGGTAGGAATTATTCATCACTCATTCTTTAGTTTCTGCTGAACCCAGCTCTAACTCTTAACAGAGTACTCCAGGAAGTCATTAAAGATGTCATTCTTGAGGTACTGGACTAGATAGGAGCCTTCATTTAAATATCAGTACTCTATTTCTATTCTGTGACAGCTTCCCCTCAAAAATGTAGAACATGGTGAGTGTTTGGGGTCTTCCAGTCTCTTCATTGTCCGATTCCTAGGAAGCACCTAGTTGTGAATTTGACCACAACTGATATGTTAGCTAGATTTGTCTAGTCTAGTTTTATTTTTTTTTCTTTTTGGGTCACACCTGGCAATGCACAGGGGTTACTCCTAGCTCTGCACTCAGGAATTACCCCTGGCGGTGCTCAGGGGACCATTTGGGATGCTGGGAATCGAACCCAGGTTGGCCGCATGCAAGGCAAACGCCCTACCTGCTGTGCTATTGCTCCAGCCCCTGTCTACTCTAGTTTTAATAGTTTTATTATATCTGAAGTTTTTCTTACACTCTGCTTCCAGTATATTTTGCAAAGTGTCAATTTCTAAATATTAGGTGAGTCAATATCTCAATAATTTTCTTTCTGTGACCTTCAGAACCTTAGTCAAGACATGACTAGGGTTCTGAAGGTCACACAAAGAGGTGACTCAAAGAGGATTAATTCAAACTAAGCAGACCATATGCTGTCTCCTCTTCTATGGCAGCAAGAATCATATCCAGAGAATTAGGGGCACAAAGTTTCCAAATATTATTCCCCAGAGAAATTAAAGCCAACCTCTGAGAGAATCTGTGAGGGGGAGGACAGGAAGAATAATATTATCTGTAGCACATTTGTGAGTACAGGGTAGGAATGAAGAGAGGCAGTCACAGGTACACAGGAAACTGTAGGATAACATTAGTTTGTCCTTTCTCCCTTGTCACAGGGAGCTTAGGTTTATTGGGTTACACCCATCATAGTGCTCCCGAGTCACTCCCATTCCTCTGTTTATCTGTAGACTCTTCTCTGAGCTCTCCTCCCCAGCCAATCACCTTTTCACTAATTAGATTCTGTTAACTTGTAAGATCAGATCCTTCTAAGGACACTGAACTTGTATTATAAGTTATGTATTTTGCGTAGTTTACCTTAAAGTAATGTCCTTTCTGTATGGACACAGGAAGACAGTTAATATTATGCTTTGTAACTTGGGAGTTGATTGACTCTGAATAATATTTACTCCT